GCAATGTACCATCAGCTATAGAGGAATACAAATCCCAGCAATACATTGTACACTGCATGTATAATGTTTTGCTGGGATTTGTTGTACTCCTATATGGGCGGTGGTATTCTGCATTGCACTGTATAGAGGACTACAAATCAAGGAATACCACCAGCTATAGAGGAGTACAACAAATCCCAGCAATAATACATTATACAGTGGTGCAATGCCGAATACCACCAGCTATAGAGGACTACAACACCCAGCAATAGTACATTATACATTGCAATGCAGAATACCGCCAGCTATAATGTATTATTGCTGGGATTTGTTGTATTCCTCTATAGCTGGTGGTATTCTGCATTCATTGCTGTATAATTTTACACTTTTCATTTCACTATATTGTACACCACACTTTTTTTTTCTTTTTTACTTCTACTGCTCCAAGCTTGCTCCAGTGATGGACTACAATCTCAATACAAACTAGAAGTCCCATCACTGGAGCCATTTTTTAAAATGTATTTTATTTTTTATCCGATTAACCGATTAATCGAACTTAATAATCGGCTAACTAATCGATTTTGAAAATAATCGTTAGCTGCAGCTCTATTTCAGATGATTTTGTACATGTTATATTTCGTAAATTCGGATGCTCTGAAATACAAATTTCTGAAATTTCGTCCGAATTTCGTTTCGGAACGAAACGAATCGCACATGTCTAATAAGCATCATCACATCTTTTATTTTTCTCCTTCTGGTTTAAAGGAAGCATTAAATGTTGGCCTTCCTATAAAAATTCTTGTTACCTGGCTGTCTCTGGGTTCAGTTAGTTCTGAGTTACTAACATGGAATAAGCATGCAGCTTCCGAAAGACAGGGAAAGTCAGAATCACTAATCTCTGCACTTGTGAGATCAAGATCTGTACTTCTGAGATTGAAATCAATGACAAAATATTGCAATACTGAAGGCACTGCATAAGCCTGACAGCTGGACAAAATGCATTTTCAGAGGGAGAGCTCAGTGACGGCTTTATACTTCTCTCACTACAATAATATAAGACATTTGATTTGTTTGCAATTATTTATGACATAATCCATTATTAGTTGAGCCAAATCACTAACAAATCATATTACACACAATATTTAAAGGATACAATATTTCAGCATATAGCCGCATGCTGTTTTCTAACCTTCAGTGGATATATGCTTGATTTTAAGAAACAAGTTGACGTTTGACACGCAATAAAAGAAGAGACTGAACTGTCAGACAAAGAGAATATTATGGGGCAGTTTCCTACATACAGGTTACAATGGTGGGTTCACATT